GGCTGACATTTTTTAATCTGTGGCTGCAAAGAGAGATTGAGGATATGGAATTCATAATATCCGCAAAAGTCTAACATCCGAGAGAGGTCTTCTCCTAGACCCGACAGCTTTCTCATACAACTGTTTCTTTTCAGCAGCTAACATGGTCCAGATAACATCTCTTTGCAGAAACATGTCTTTTTAAACATGATGATAGAGGAGTTCAAGTAAGACCACCATACACGTTAGGACAAAACAGAAAATATCCTGTGGTTATAAAACCAAAATTTCTCTTTCCTACCTAAGATAAACCAATTTCTTGAAAGAGTAAATTAAGTAGGTATGCTATATAATGGGAGGTTCAGCAAGATATATTGCTAAGTAATATCGAGTTCTGCTAAAACTAACTGAGTCTTTGCTAAAAGATAAATATACTGGACACAAAGTGTGATACACAATGAAAACCATATTTAACAAGATAAATCAACAGTATGTATCTTATGGGTGATGGACAGTTGCCTTTTCTGGAGTTATGAATTGATCAGGCTGGCTATACTCTCTGAAGACTTGTTTACAATCTGAAAAACTCACTCAAGATTAATTCTTGGTTGAATCTGTAGCATCAGGTTTACCAATGTGATTGTCATTCACATTCATATATAAGAGAGGCTGTAACCTCGAGACATTCTCTGACCACTGGAGGACACTGCTGTTGACATGTATAAAGTGCAAATATACCACTTATGGGCAGACCACTTGTTACCACCATGCAATGATAAAGAACAAATGTAGTTGGAATTAAATTAACTTACAATTTTTTGACTACATTTTATGCTTACATATCGCAAATCTACAAAGTCTTCATCTGTATCCATTTTGAACTTGAACCACCTTGTTATATGGGTAGTTTTCACTCATACTCCAATACATCAGTACCTTTCCTCTATCAGACTGCAAGTATCCCATTAATTTATCTCTCTTGTGATTCTTTCACTTTTTCTTCTTCAAATGGGCTACCACATGTAATGAACTTTACTTGAACCGATGCTGACCTTGCTTCCACTCCATCAGACTGGATCCAATACAAATTCCCTAACAATGCTCTTAAAAAATATTAACAGTAAATCAAAAATAATTCACTACTGATTTAAGAGCTACTTTTGTCAAATTATATTGAAAAGTAATTACATTTTTTAAAGAAAATAATGTGAGGAAAACTCCCAGGGCTGTACTTATTGTACCTTCCTGATGTTTCCATTGTCCCAAAAAATTTCAGTGTAGTAGCTCTGTGGTATATATGAATACGATACTATACTATATATTTCTACCATATTGTACTATTATAATATTTATTCGTAATTCATTCATTGTTCTGAATATGTGCAGTTTTCACATTACACGTGATATAAAAAGCATTTAAGTTAATTTTGTTTCAAGTTACCTTTGATATTCGTATTACCACACATGGACAACATTACAGAATGCAACTTTGTATAAGAATGTTAAGAACAATGTCCTTCAACGGTTGTTTAGATTCTGTCTAGTGGTTGGGGCCCTACCTATCTGTAATGAGAATGACCAGTCACGTGGTAGTGCATGTCATTTTGGGGAAATATGATGTTTCTTTGGATCTAAATGTACATTTCACGTTTAGCGTATAGTAAAGATTGTTCCTTTTGTGTACCGCTTCTTTTTTAATATTGTTATTTCATTTAACATTGACTCATTTATTAAGAGATTTAGTAATACTCCGAAATCAGTTCAAATGAATATACTTACACACTTGGATACACATTCATACTTCTGTTTTTAATCATGCAGCAGAATAAAAATGCAACTAGAAGCACAATGTGACGGCCAATCCCACTATTCGTTGGTAAAATAGTAGCACAAGAGTTGGTGGTGGGTGGTGAAGACTAGCTGCCTTCCCTCTAGTCTTACACTGCTAAATTAGGGATGCCTAGTGCAGATAGCACTCATGTAGCTTTGCACAAAATTAAAAACAAACAAACCTCTGAATGAGCAGAATTTAAGCTGTTAAGTTTGTTTTGTTTAATTTCAACATAATTAATCTAGGGATGGACATACTCTGTTGTTATGTCTTCATTTTGAAACCTACAACTTTTATACCATAATCAGACAGTTTTTTTTATCATCTTATGATTAATAATATTGTGTTTTCAGAATTACTTAATTATTTGTTTTGAATGCTAAATCTTCTACTTCAGTTTGCTTCTCTCACTTTTTTTTCTTCAGAAAATTGCCCAAAGGGCCTAACGTGTAACTATCGGGCTGTAACTAAATTTCTGACCGATTTTCAAATGAATTTAGACAAACAAAATGGTGATGATTATAGATATATTTAATTATCAATATATTCTCCATTGCTTTCGATAACATTGTTCCATCTGTCAACAAGTTTTTGGATGCCACGTTTATAAAATTCCTTAGGTTTTGACCCAAAATAAGAGATTAACACATTTTCGACCTCCTCTCTTGAAGTTAGTCTAAGTCTATTCAAATGATTTTATAAACTCCTGAACAAATGATAGTCAGAAGGAGCAAGGGCGGGAGAATATGGTGTGTGAAGCAATTATTCCCAGCCAAGTTCCTCTAGGAGATCCTTGGTTACTCGTGCGGTATGGGGACGTACATTATCGTGGCGAAGAATAACCCCTTTTCTATTTGCTAAGGACTGGCGTTTCTTGTCCAAAGCTGTTTTCAAACGCCGCAGTTGTCGGCAGTAAACCTCTGCTGTGATTGTCTGCTTATTGTTTAACAGTTCATAATGGACAATTCCTTGCATATCCCACCATACACTCAACATGATCTTCCTTGGATTCAAATCCCCTCTCGGCTGCTGAGCAGGTCTATCACCACGACTAAGTCACTGGCGGCGTTGATATATGTATATAGCAATATACATGTATAAATAAATAAATGTTTGTAGTCTTACATGCATGTATGAACATTACATGAAGTCATGTTGTATAAGAAAAATAGATCTATTATACAAATAACACAACTATTAAGCAATTTATGAATGGAAATAAGGATTTAATATGGATGTGGCAGTCTTCCTTCTCTCTTGTGAGCAGTGCAAACTTACCATTTTATACTGTATTGCTACAGAAGTTGCTTTAGTAATGATGAGAAAATATCTCACACCAAGGTGGTGCCTCATCATTTCTCTGGGTAGCCTTTCCACAAACTTGTCAAGGAGGGTATCCTTTCAGTCTGCTGAAACCATTGCAGGTTAAGCTTTACTGTGTAAATTGTGCATATAAGGGTTCGAACTTTCTGTGATACTCCTTTCCTGAGCCTTGAACTCGACCCAGTGGATTGCTGTGGCACAACTTAGCAATAGATTTTTGTAGTCCCAAATTAGTGCCTTGCTCGAATGCACAATACAGTCTAGGATCTAACTGTCTAGCTCAAGATCAGAATTGTAAAGCATGCTCTGAAGACCATCCATTCCAAGCAGTTACCTGTCAGAACAATTTTAGAAGAGTGTCTAGATCTTCTTTTGCTGCACCCTTTAATATCAAATGTGAGTTTTGCAAAATAACCCCAACGATTAAATTAAAAGGAAAATCACTAGACAATTAAGTAACATCCGACTGAAGCTTGGATTTTACTGTATCACTACTTCATTTAAAATGTTGGACTTGTGTTCCCTCGAAACCCAGAATCGGCACGATCCAAATTAAAAGTCAGTAATACGTTCCTTAACTAAGGTGAATGTCTATACTAAATTCTGCAAAAGCCATAAAAGTTCTCACAGTCTTAAACAAAGTAAATTAAATAAATAAGTAAAAGAAATGAGCAGAGACAAATATTAACGCTTTTCTGAAACTTATAACAAGAAAAATAGTGAAAATCTGACATTTCCGGAGTAATCTTATGTTTAAATACGTAGCAAATCTGCACCCTACTCACCGCTAGCAAGCAGTCTGTGCGTTACTAAAGTGCATGGTTTGTCTTAGCAATTATCAGTTTCGCTGACAATAAAAACAACGGTTCCTCTAATTACGCAACGAGTTACCTTTCTCGTAACATAATACGAATGTCAGTCTATTACTAACACACCTACACAGTGAGATTCTAATTCTAGTGGAAGGTAAACTGAGTAGCTTACTTGTGCGACTCATTGGTACAAGGTGAGAACGATGAAAAATACAATTAATTTCATTTTTTTTTTTATTTACACATGAACCGAGGGAGTAGAAAACATATAATATGGTACCATACTACAAAAGTGTGAAATGCAGATGAGAACAGAAGACACAGTCAGATCCTTGTTTATTTCTTCATTCGAGAAAAACTTTAAAAATGATTGAAGAAGCTGGTAAGAAAGAACTACTCGGAACTAGAAAGTGCAGTTATTAGGTAAAGAATTATTATATATAAACTCGGATATTCATTTTCCCATTTGTAGATTTGGGCCAGTTCCAGCCTGACATGAATATTCAAATTTGCGTTATACAATTCACAATTATAAAGGAGCGAAACAACACTTTACCTTCCAAAGACGTTTTACTTTGTATTTTTGTTTATTTTAGCACAATTATGTATCTGCATTCTCTCCACTACGGTTTTTTTCTGGAAAGATCTACTTTCATGCGATATGAAAACATTCTTATATCAAAAGCAGACACATAGTTTAACTTTTCTATCAAGGCATCCCTATGCCGTATAAACTTGGATAATAAAGGTATCAACACCTAATTTATAGGTTTATACTTTTGTCTTGAAGTGGTTTTCCATGAAAAACACAAAAAAAACACAACGAACACAAATTTCATAAACCTATATAATAAAAATTTCTCAAACTATTGCAAAGAACTTTGCAATATTGTATATTAATATGAAATTTTACCAATGCGTTTTACTGTTCGACTATTTCGTGTATATTTGCACCCAGTTTTTCCTTTTCTCTTCTCCGTTAGGTTAAACTGGGTACATCCTCATATCGGATTTTACAGATAGGTTTTGAACAATTACATTGGCGGGCTGAAAATTTCGCGGGAGTTGTGGTTGTCAGTGGACTGTACAGCTCTTGTTGACGAGTAAGCTGTGAATTCCTTTCTGTGAATGAAAGTTAATTATTTCCTTTAATTGCATCTAAGTTTATGATAAAGTTATTGTATCATGCCTGGCTTGAGAAGTGTACTTGCAAATGGGCCAATAAACGATCGCTCAGAATTGTCAACAGAAGAAGAAATAAGAGTAATCAAAAGGTAGGCTCAGTTTGAACATTGAAGTTCATTTTAACTTAACTCATTTAAACTTAAACATAGGTAAACATAATCGAAAGTTAACGGCTTAGGACTTGGAGTTTAACGTTACATTTAATTTAATTTAATAATTGGAAATCAAACAAATAAAATAAAGTAAAGAGAGAATGAAAAAGTAACTGATTTTAATTAATGTATAAGAATATCAAAGGAACATTTGGCACTTTAAAAAGGTTCTTGAACTTTGATTGAACAGATACCTTAGAGAAAAGTGGAAACTTAATTTCAGGAAATCCTCAGTTTTTGTCTAGTTATATAAACTCTTGTAAACTGCTCGTCTTCACAAAATTATAGTAAATAGCAGAAACTCATCCCATAAAACAAGCACTACTAATAGTATTATGAGTATGAGCACACATGACTTTTTATGTGCCCCCCCCCCTTCTACTTCTAGATTATGGCCATGGTAGTTTGGAATTTTCTACAGAAATGAAGAAAGGGCATTTCCTATCAAACTTTCCAAAGCTTAACAGTTTCATGTTTCGAATAAGTAATGAAATGCTAAAACAAACATCTTTATGTTTTTAAAACCTAGCACTGACAAAGTTATATATAAACATGGCAATCAAAGAGTTAAGGGATGGCCTTACTATCCTTAACTCTTTAATTGCTACTACAAAAGCAGCCACTAAATGAGTGTAAACCTGAGTCAGCAACACTGTTTTCAAGCTTCAATGTTTGTATTTATGTGAATGTCTAGCTTAAAAATGTCAACTTTTCTGTTTTCACACATGGAGATCTAACAGAGGGTGAAATAGAGTCAGAAAGAACGTGCTGGTAATAAATATTGTAATAGGTATAAATAGATGTAATTATAATTTAATGCCAGAGAATTGAATAGAAATGATACAAAAACATCATACAATGGTTATTTTTTTAACTTTGTAAATAGAAATATAAAAGATGTAATATTTCATCTGTGTATGATCTGTAGGCATGTGAAATATACTCTTCCTCCCATTTTTTAAAAATTATGGCTTCAGTGGTTTATGTGTGTCTGCCAATAAACCATGTAGATTTACAAAGAAAGTATTTCTCTTAACTTGTTGAGGCCTTATAAGCTGGTCTATGATTTTATTGGTTGAACTTACAATTACATCTGCATATCTCTCATGAAGAACTTGACAAATGAGTGTGTATCTCAGCTAAAAATTGTTGAAAAGTAGAGGTTATAAGCTTCAAAATTATGTAAACAATTTTCCAATCACTACATCTGGCAATTTTTACCTCTAAAAAAATCTGGAAAAGCCACACGTGAAGAGTGGAAACTGTTTTTGAAAATATTTTTCTGATAATTATAACATTGGGAATTTCTTTTATAGTTTCTGGTGATGTTTTCTTCATTGCTAATACTTGATTTCTGTTACTTTATTTTTATTTAAAAGCTGCAGAAATATATTTCAACAACAAGAAATCAGATAAAGCTTTGTAGTGTTAGTGAGTATACAGACCAACAGAGTTTTGTGATGATGTTGGTCATACATTGTTATCAACCATGTGGAATTAATGGATTTTTATTGGGTTACATAATTACTTTGCTGGACAAAAACATACTATAAGAAAATACAGAGTATTGTGTTAATGAATATAAAATATTAATATTTCTTGGTTATAAAAAAAAAAGGGGGACTTTCTGATCAATAATAATAAAGAAAAATTATGATTTTGCTTATTTCTTGCATATTATTTACAGTTTTATACATTCTGTAGGCAATTTTTAAATATGTAAATTTCATATGATGTTAAAAACATTACAAAAATTACTTGGTTTAGATCAAGGGATTAAATATCACAGAGGGAAAATTTGTGTATTGGTTAGGAATTTCACTTGTAGTTGACCTTTTTCTCAAAAACTATTCATGTTAGAAACTTTTAGTAGGTGTGATTTTATTGCAAATTGCAATACACTTAGTAAACAAAATACAAAGTTATCCTTCAACAAATTACTTCTACCATTGGAAGTAAAAACCCAATAATAAATGTCTATTTCTCATATATAAAATTACAGAAATAAAGATAAGCTAACAAAGATTAAGGTTATGTGAGCTATGTTTTTGTCAGCAAATGTTTGTGAGTGTTTAAAGTATTAAAATTGTTTTATACACTTTCAAGAATACAACACACTTGGTGAATGAGCTTGTCAGATGTAGGACAGTTTATGTAGGTATTTATGATAATACTTTTGCACTATTAATCTGATTTTTATTTAATTTTTTTCTAAGTCATTAACATTAATAATCAGTGTAAGCTCCTACTGAAGAGTATTTACCAACTGTTGTATTAGTGACACCATTCTTTTATCTGATAGGAGCCTGTGCCTTCTAGGTATGAAATAGTTATGTATATGGAAACATGAAGACTTATAACTAGCACCAGTATAATACATATACATGTAAACTGTTCAGGTAGTGTATATATTAATTCAAAACATTTTTGTTATTATTTAGACTTGAAGACCTGAAACAAAAACTGGAGGATGAAGATGTGACATTAAAGGTGTGATTTAGCACTAAACTTATTGTGTCTGCTAAGTGCAATACTTAAAGGAAATCAACTTTTAAATTGTGTTTGGAGCAAAGTATATAAATGTAATTCATTGAATTTTAGAAGTGTAAAATTTTAGTCTGAATTTTTTTACTATAAATGCTCTCATTTCCAATAAGGTACCTTACTTCTGCTCAAATACATAGCTATTTTTTTTTCAGTGCTGCCCTCTATTTGCAAAAATTGCTTCGCATACGACAAGCCTTTCACTCCCACATACTCCTTGGTTCACGTGGTTTAACCCTGTCTTTACAGTTGTCGGATGTTATGTTTGCCAATTGTGTGGCTTATACTGCCTAAGAGTATAAATATATACTATGTAGCTGTTGGGCTTAGGATTCTTCTACAGTACGTGCCTGTGACTTGTTGGCAATAAATTCAGTGGTAAATGAACAGCACACACTCCATATGTTTTCAAAATAATATATATATTCGGAACAAGTCAAACATATGTACAACAAATACTTCTTGTCAAAAGTCCACTTAGGCTTATTCAGTTGCTTTTCGAATTTCAGTTGACAAGCCATACAACCTTTCTCTCTTTATGTTGCACTAGTATTCCGTGCATAATTCACTTACTCTGCCTCTTTGAGTTACTGCATTTGTATCCTGAACTTCCAACACTCGTCTGCTTTTTTCGTTTTTAGGCCTACTTCCAATAATCGTCTGTGTTTTTTGTCAAAGTCCACAGAGGCAGGTTCAATTGCTTTAGAACACCCTTTGATGAGACAAATTATTCTCCTAAAGTGTCAGAAAACTGTTAATCTCACTTTAACATATCAACCAGTAGGCTATCCACTCTTACAACATTGTTTCCTTTTTGCATGTTATTATTTAGTGTTCTTTGGTGCATTATGTAATTATATACAAATCATTTAATACAGTAGTACCATTAGTATAAAAAAAAAGTAGGGTTAAGTTTCATCGACAGTTGACAGCAAAAAAAGAGAAGACCAAGGTAAGGACTTTGTTTCTTGTTCTTCATATGTACTCTTTATTTATTATTATAAAAGAGACTGAAATGTAAAAATTGAAAACTTTATAGATCAGATAAAGTAAAATAAATAATATTAATAATAATTTTTTATGGGGTATGCTTACGAGTAGTCTGTGTGTTATGTAATTCAATACCATAAAATGAGCTGCACGTTTCTCATGTGATTTGCCATTTATATGGTGCGAATAATAAAAAATCAGGAAATCATTCTAAATTTCCCATATTTTTTGTTCTGGAATGACTCCCAATTATAACAGAAAACCACAATTGTTTATCCTAAATAGTTTCAAACTCGTAACAATATGTACATCCTTTTATACTTAAATTTTATTGTCTTATTGCCCTTTGAACCATGTCTAACTAATGTCAAATTAACCAACCTCATATAGAGTTAAATATTATCCCCCAAAAGCAATATAAAATCTTGTCTGTAATAAGACAGTTTTTCATATTCGTTGAATACTGTATATATTTTAGACAAATGACATCAAATGATAACAAGTAGTTTTAATTTTAAAATCTACAAGGTGTTTCTTTATTTTCTGCTTGAAAATAATTTGTAAGATATCAAAGTTTTGTAGTTGGTACACAAGCAGGTTCTTACAATAATTTGCTTATGAACATGTGAATTGGACTAAACCAAATCATAAAAGAACACAAGAAATCAAGAAGCCACTTCTAAGTAATGATATCTTAAAAACATAAGATATTTTCATGATTATTGGAAAAGCTGTGCATATTGTCCTACTTCAGCATGAAAGTGCACTTAACTTCTTTGACACTGATAAAGAAATCATGAAGGGAAACAACATGGAATGTAAAATGTCAATAAAATGTTTCATTGAACATTAACATGCTCTTTTCCACTTGCAGAAAGTAAACATGTAGTGTACATTGCAAATAGTTTTTCATTGACACTGAAGTACTTTATTTCTTTTTCTTTGAGTTTATTAAATTATACCTATGGGATCCTTGAAAATCTCACTGGGACTCTTGATTAAAAAGTTGAGAGTGAAATGAAATGATTTTATTACCCAAGAGATTAGTAAGGTTTTCTAAGCAATCATCTTAATCTTTATCAGCATAATTGAATCTATTTCAGTTTTTTACTAAATATGTAGTTATGAGCAACCCAACTTTTTCCAAAACAGTAAATTATCCTTCTTCATACAGTATTTATTTTTTCCACATGCATCTAGCCTAGAGCTATCTTGTACCTAAGATATGTGTTATAACATAAACTGCACTAGTGCATGATGTAATCATTATGTGATACCCTTCACCGATAGGAGGATAACACATCCTCTATGTGCAATATATCCCCATAAGCACTTGAACTAAAAATTAACTTTGTTCTTATCCTTGACACTATTTTTAATGGACATGTTCGTTTAAGTTTAAATTTAAGTTAACTTTCTTTGATTTCTTTTGAGTTTATTTTAACTTTGATTTAAAGCTACATTCCCACAAAATAACTAAGTAACTTAATAAAAAATTAGATCTGCAGAATTGTTACAACAACCATGAATTCTTAAGTGATGGTGACTACTACTTCCTTCCGAGGTTCTGGCAATGTTGCTAACACTCTCCCTACTCTGTGATCACCAGAAGCTCACTGACTGTTGAAGGCATTGATTCCATAGTTCATTGTGTCATGGGTTCTTTGTTGCTTTCCTTGTCTCATTTCCCTGTCCCTGCAACCGAAGTGCATTCTCTTCTTCCTGAACCTCATCATAAGGACAATGACTTTGATCAGTTCATTCCACCTCCTGTGATTACACTAGCCTTCTCTTTGCCTGTTGAAGACAATGTTCGTCCTCCATATCTCTTTGTGGATTTAGTTTTTCAGGTTTGTTCTTTACTTTCTCTTTCTCCTAAGTCTTTTGCTTCTTCCTATTCCTTGCTATGCAATTCTCACATTAGAGAGTATTTTATTTTTGTTCCTTCTCCATGTTTTACACATTCCTGGATCAGCTATTTTCCCACTCTCAAATGCCTCGTCCTCCTTGAATCCTTTTCTGTTCTTGTATTCCCAATTCCTGGAGTTTCTTTTACCCTCTTGGGGGGCTTAACTCTCTTTTTTTTCAGTAATACACGTTAGTGCTCAATTTTCCCATATTTGCCTTTTTTCATACCCATATCATTCATCACCTATCTTCTTTTCATCTCCTGTCTGAAATGCTACGCTGCGATTCTGATAGTTTTCTGGGGATCTATAATTGGTCCTTTTCAATGCTTACACGGTTTCTCTGTTTTTGGGAGTTTCTTGGATGAGACACTTCTCTCTACTGATCGTCTTTCCCATTCTTACTCCTGCGACCTCCATCTGGCTCCTTTTTTTCACTCTGAAGTCTTTGGGGGTGTCCCTAATATCTTGTAGACTCGAGCCAAGGCTGTCCTACACCTGTCCTCCCTTTCCTCCTTGGTTTCTTTTCTCTCACAACCTCATGAGTCCACTCTTTTTACTTGACCCTGTGAACTTTCCAACCCTCTCTTTTCCTATTTCTTATCTCTCTACTGCTTCTTGTTATCTCCTTCCTGTTGTGATGTCTGTTGCACATCCTGTTGGTGATTCACTTTGTAACCAGTTGGGTAAGGTCCCATGGGGATAAGCCTGTTTCTGCAGTCCTTTGAATCCTTTTTGCATCAGATTGTTTGGTCATTCCGTTTCTTACACATGACCTTTCTCTTCCTACTCTGTCCTCTTTTCTTGTTCCTTTTCCTCCTCTTTCTGAGTGTTTTGTGTGTCTGAAGTGTCATTGAAAAGATTGTTTGCTCCTTTCCAGGGTTTTATTATCATTTTGTTGTTGTTCCCCAAAAGACTGGAGAATGGCATCTCATCATTGACCTTTCCTTTCTCAATAATTATCAGGTGGCTCCATGGCTTAAAATATTTTTTTTTTCCCTCTCTGTTGGTCATTTTCTCCTGGACTATGAAAGATCAAGTTTGATATCTTGAATTCCATTTTCCATATTCAAATTACCTCATCCACCTGTCATTTCCCTCATTTTATTCATCAGTGTACCAGTTTCCAACTATATACCCCCTTGGCATTGCATTGTTTCCTTATGTCTTCAACCAAGCCATGAGAACATTTGCTAACCAAGTCCACAGTCATGGATTTCATTTCCATCATTACATGGAAGCCTGGCTCATTTTTGCCTCTTCTCAGGAGGCCTCCTTCATGGCTACATCACTTCTTCTCGTTTGGGTTGGCTGGTCAAACTTTCCAAGTTGTTCTTGATATCAACTCAATACTTGATTCATCTTGGAGTCGTTTCAATTCTCGACTCAGTTGGGCTCAGCCTTCCCCCATTCATCTGTGGAACATGGAGCATCCAGTCACCTTGACTTTTGCTTCTCCTGTACTTCCTGTGTGTTTTTATAGAACATCTCGTCCCTCTTGGCCAGGCTAACATGAGGCTTCTTCAGTGGATTTTGAGTGAACAATGGAAAAATGTGCTGTGATCTTCTGTCCTGTCTTGTGATGGTGTCATCTTCTCTTTTTGAGAATCTTGGTGGCTGGATGGTGCCAACACTATAGTTGGTATTCTATTGCTGCTTCTCATCTGGATTTCCATCTCTTCGCCATTGCTAGGGTGCATGACTCCATGATCTTGGGGGTTTGGTCTCCTGTTGAGTGTTCTTTTCACATCAGTGTTCTGGAACTCTTGGCTGCCCATAGGG